ATTTGCGTGTTTGTTTATTCTGGGGTTTGCTACCACATGGGGCCCGATGGTCTGGTAAGAAAAACATGTATCCATCCGGCTACTGTTGACTTCCGCTAACTGTTCGATTCTAGGACTTTGATCGCCGAACTCTTCCCGTCACGATACAGGGCCAAGGGAATGGCCATCGCAACTGCAAGCAACTGGACCTGGAACTTCCTCATTGCATTCTTCACTCCGTTTATCATCAGTGCCATCGATTTCAGATATGGATACGTGTTTGCCGGCTGCAATTTGGCTGCAGGTCTCCTTGTGTACTTCTTCGTTATTGAAGGGCAAGGACGAACGCTGGAGGAAATAGACACCATGTATATCGAACATGTGTCCCCCATGAAGTCTTCCAAGTGGGAAGCACCACCTGCGGCGGAGATGGCCCGAATCAGAAGGCAGGCCGGCACGGAGGTTGCTGCATCAGAGGACGTCGAGTCCCGGGGCATCTACAGCGGAGAGACGGAAAGGGGGCATGATGGTGACAAAGAAGTCGACCAGACCAGGGAGATTCATGCTGAGAGGGTGTAGGTCTGGGGGCACCAGTGATTGACATGAATGTGTACACTACTATTGTACCAAAAGCGTGGGTATGTGAGGGAATAAAAATGTGAGGTTGGGGTCCTCTTTGGTCGAGTCATAGGTACCTAATAGTTCACAGCAATGAGTAACAATTATGATGACAGTAGTGTTGGTGTTGTTCGCTTACTCCTGAGTACCAGAGTAGCATTGATGCAGATTGTGTGGGCAGCATATGCTTTCCGGATCGGGCGAAGCCGATCTCTCCTTCTCAGACAACCAATCACACCCGTCCAGTTTGTTATCGACTTGCCTAGACCTATACAGGCATGGCTATCCTGCATTGTCCAGCTAATCAATCCCCAAAGCCTTGGTCCATCGGCAGCGGCTCCCGGGCCCGATGCCTCCACCTCCGCTATCAGTTCAAAGTTCTCTCCACATTCACATTCGCTGACCCTCCTACCGACGGCGACATTGACACAACAAAGTCGTTCTCTTATTGCAATCGGCCCATTTCTACGGAAGACTACACCATCCTGCTTGCCCCTGAATGCGCCGAGCCCAGCGTCTGCCCCCTCCATGTCCGGAGCCGAACGCCAACCGACAAATGGCCCTCAAGCAAGCCGATTCACGAGCAGTAACCCCGAGCAGAGGCAGGAAAACACCATGTCGAAGCGTAGACAGCCAAAAAGCCGTACAGGTGAGCTACATCTCGGGTTGAGATTGCCGTTTGGCGTTTATGTATCCACTGTTCCGGGTACAAGTGACAATGAACCGATCACTAACCTGTGCGTCTTTCATCAGGCTGCAATACCTGCAAAGCCCGACGCATGAAATGTGATGGTGAGAGCCAACTTCTCTAAAATCGAATGCTATTCCTGTCACAACTATCCGTTGCATACGAGAATGTTTGATTCTCACTATGGAGTCACTTATCATTGCCCATGTTGTTTGTTATTGCAGCCGCAAGTCCGCTGACCGCTTCTAGAAGCCAAACCGTCCTGCACACAGTGCCTCGACAGAGGTGTCGAATGCGGCGGCTATGTCAGAAACCTCAAGTGGAAGTTGGTGGGAGAGCAGCCCAAAAAGCGCAGCCGGCCAGAGGGTATGATCGCATCATTCGGCCTTTATCAATCCTGTTGTCGCCTTATCGGACTGTGACGCTGACTGGCTGGCAGAAAGGCAACTTCAAAGCTTGGAGAACATGTCTATCGAACGGATTTCGCGACCATTTTACAAGGATGCAACTTCAGGTGACCATGTTACAACACCACCTCTCCAGGCTGAAGCGAGTATGGCACAGGGCATCGCGAGCACCAATAGCGCGTCATCGGCACGGACTCGAGAAGAGCCTCTCTGGCAATCATTACCGCAAGACCAACTCTTCGACTTTGGTGATGTTGATTTCAGCGTCGACTTCTTCCTCGGCGAAGGAAACATCGATCTGAATGTGCCTAGCGATCTGGGCTCTCCGACCAATACCTCCCCCGGGCCGTCACTAGAAATGACCGACAGTCATCTGTCTTCCTCAAGACATGGGATAGATTTAGATATGCGGAAAGAAAAGGCCCCCGACTTATCCGACCTGATCATCTCCCCACCCTACATCCCACGGGACTTTGAGGGACAGAGTGGGACTGCAGCTGATTCTAGTCAACTTAGCCTGCGACGCGGTAACATAGAAGACAATCCCGTCCTTCGCGAGCGGCCCTCGCCATTCTCAGACACTCCAAAAACAGTCAAGCAACTTTTTGACAGGCATCTCTGTGATGCTCTTTCTATCAAGGACGATCCATTCACCAATCCGTGGCGACTATATATATGGCCACTAGCTGATGAGTGCCCGGCACTCTACCATGCTCTTGCAGCGATGACATATCTATACCTGAGCAACGCACGGCCCGAATTCAGTGGAGCTGGGTCAAAAAATTTCCACGCCAGCCTCGAGGCTTTGGCACGGGATCAAAACAAGCCGGACACCAGTCTTGAAGCCTCTATCGCCGCAAGATTGGCCCTTGGTTTCGCGGAAGCATGGGACGACCAAGCAGCCTCTCCTGGTGTCGAACACATCAAAACTGCTGGAACGCTACTTCGAGGCGCTTTCGATAAAGACAGGATTACAAGGCTAACGAGTGATGAACTAGATCGTTTGAACTTCCTGGCGCGCACTTGGGTGTACAAAGTCGTTATGACTGGCTTGACAACGTCTGACGATGGCGAGTTCCTCGACGTCGAGTCCATAACAAGGTATATTGAGCTCGATCGTCTGCCAGTCGAACAGCAGCTCGATCCGCTTCTTGGCTGTGCAATCACGCTGTTTCCGCTGATTGCGCGTCTAACCAATATTATCAAGGCTGTCCGGCGGAGAACCGAGAAACACAACTCTCCGTCCATTATCTCCAGAGGCGCCGAGTTATGGACAGCCATCGAGGACTGGAGCCCATCGTTTGATCCACAGCAGTCAGAAAACCCCCCATCTCACGTCTCTGATATCATACAGACGGCGGAAGCATACCGTTGGACAGCGTTATTGTTGCTTCGGCACGCTGTACCAGAGCTTCCGTGGGCTCATTCAATGTTGGAACTCGCGGAGAAAGTATTAATCTATCTTGCAACTACGCCGGTCACGTCTCGAACGATGGTCATCCAGATATTCCCACTGATGGCGATTGGCGGCGAGACATTTGACGAAGAAGACCGCAACTGGGTCTGTCAGAGATGGGATGCCATGGCCAAGCGCATGCCAATTTCGAGATTGGACAAGTGCCTGAAAGTCACAAAGGAGGTCTGGAGGAGGAAGGACACGTTTGAAGCACAACGTGGCGCGTGCCCCAGCTGTGGTGCTTATCGGCCGAGGTCGACCGGGACCGGCTCCCCCATGGACACCTTGACGGACACGGACTTGTCTGTCGCATCCTCCAAGAAGTCCGAGGAAGGGAGTCGTCGATGCCGATGCAACGCGGTCAAACTCAATAATACCCCGTCATCCAGCTTCCCGGACTCGTTGGCCTTCAAGAAAGGAATCGACAACATCACGAGGGCGGGCAATTTGCATTACACGGTGAGGGGGGAATTGCATTGGTTGAAAGTCATGGAAGACTGGAAATGGCAAGGTGAGTTTCCCGGGAGTGGGTCGTCACGAGTCACAGTCCCGAACCATGTTACTTTGTCACTGACTCGTTGCAACAGTTGTGCTTGGGTGAGACAAATACGAGGACCATTGATCCCGAGACAAAGTTGATTGGGGCGGGTTTGTTCTGGTGCGAGGTTCAAGCACCTGATCGGCCGGACACGGCGCAAGGCTGCCGTCTGACTCTGTCCGGGGGCCCCACCCCCTACAGAGGACTAACCCAACTTGGAGAAAAAGTGCGCCAGCCTCGACCTTGTCCATCCGTTCTGGGTAGTCTTGGAAAACGAACATCGATCAATGAGTGGGAAAGGTCATGTTGGTGGCTCGATGGATCGGGCAGCAAGGGAAGATCTATCTTTACCAGTATCTACGAGGTACCGAGTACATCTACAGCTGAATCAGGGTGCACTCCAAATATTCCTCCTTCCAGCAAGATGTCAGCAGATCCAGATCCTGATCCTGAACCACTTCCACCTCCATCTCCTCCTCGAACAATGAAAAACCCCGAATCCCGGTCCGGAGTACCGAGTGTACCTTACCCCTTTCTTTGATTACCACTTAGTAAAACTAGACTGCCGATATGGTATGGTGAGACGGTAGAGAGATAAGACGGATGAGACGATAAGACGATAAGCCTGATAAGGTAGCCGTGGCATCTACGTTACCTATCTTGGCCGACCACGCTGTCAACATTTCTTTGTTCACGCGGATGGGTGGCCCTTGGCAGCCAGTGCGCGGGGTTTGATTTCAAAGGCGACAAGCGAGGAGGTTTAAGGAATTTGGCGTGGAATTGAAAGCGATGTGATAGGGACGTAGTCGGTACGTATTATCTCATCAGGGCAGTCTAGAGGATTTTAGTGCAGCGCGGTGCAGTGAGGCGTGGTATCTAGGGGGCTTGTATAGCGATATGTACAGGTACAGGTACAGGTACAGGTACAGGCACCGGGATTGCGATGGCGATAGGGATAGGTATAAGTAATGCACAGAAGATGCCAATGTCGATTGAATGTTGGCATGTATGTGTGTGTGTGTGTGTATGTACACGCCTGCTGTCATGTCTCACGGGTACATACTGTCTCCTAACTAGTAATCAAGGCCCTGAACAGACAAGAGATTGGAACGCCCGACAAACGCTCATGAATGGTGCCATGAATGCCCACAAATCTTTAACAGTACGAGAACAACGCATGCAAATACTCTGGTCATAGTCGATGTGTCGATCGCTTGCTTTCTTTCTTTCTTTCTTTCCAACCCTTTTCCTCCCTCTGTCTTCCGTCCTCTTGTCTCGTCTGGGATATCAAAACGCACCTCACCTCACCTAACCTCACCACGCCAACCCCGCCGCCGGCTCGGCCTGACAGGCCAGGCCGGAACACAGATCGACGTCCTCCTGACTCACGGCCGCGGAGCCCGGCAGACGCTGCTGCGCGGGCCAGATCTCGCGCCGCGCGGTCTTTTCCTGTGCGACGTGCTCGCGGATGACGTCGCGCGCGCGCTGCTGGAAGTACAGCGGCCCCTTTTCGAGGCGCGGGTGCATCTCGCCGTTGACGAAGACGCCCGCGTTGAGGTTCCGCTGCGCGAGCTCGCACAGGATCTTGTCCTCGGACACCACCTTGGCGTATAGCTGGTGGATCCGCTGGAAGTCTTCCTCCGACGAGTTCCGGTTGCGGTAGATCTGGTAGTGCATCGACGAGCTCTTGGGGCCGTTGGGCAGGAACCGCTGCAGCATGATGAAGTGCGGTCTATTTTCTCCCACCAGGTTCATAAAAAGTGATTAGCCGGGTGCTGAAGTTTCATAGTGGGAAGTAGATGGTCTGGATTGAGGGATTGAAGGGGAGGGATGAAGGAGTAAAGAAAAACTTACAGGACGGAAATGGATACGTTGGGAAAGAAATACGTGCTGGCAATGGCCATGCCTAGCTTCTTTTGCTCCTCGGTCGGCGTCGACTGGTGCGTGATGTACCCGTCAACGCCCGTCACGTCGTGCGTCTCGATGTCCGCCAGTGTAGGGATATCCGGATGGGCCGTGGGGCAGTGGTAGCACTCGTTGAAGTTGTCGGCCAGGATCTTCCAGTTGTACGCGCCGTCGAGCTTGTACTCGTGGTCGAGCACGTAGTCGTCAAAGTTGTACACCATGTACCGCTCCTGGGTGTCGACGTGGTCAAAGTCCTGCTCCCACGGCACTTCGGGCGTCTCGCTGCTGTCGAGATTGACCCAGATAAACCCGCAGGCGTCCACACGCACGTGGATTGGGAACAGCCCGTTCTGCGTCTTATCAAAGTCGTCAAGCTCGTCGTACTTGGGCGCCTTTGCGAGTCTTCCGTCGAGCCCGTATGACCATCCGTGATACTTGCATGCAAAGATCTTTGCGGTCCCCTGCTGGGCCTGGACGACGGGGAATGCGCGGTGGCGGCACACGTTGTGGAATCCGTTGATTTCTCCCTTGCGATCCCGGCACAGGACAAACTCGTAGCCGGCCACGTCGAATTTCAGGTAGTCGCCCGGCTGACTGAGTCTCGTTCTGTGCGTGATAAGCATCCATCTCTTGGAGAAGATTGCCCGTCGTTCTAGCTGGTACATTTCTTCAGATGTGTACCAGCTCGCTGGAAGAGCACGGACGGCAGTCTTGGAGTCATCTTTTGCCGCTGACGTTTGGCGGCCAAACCCTAGATAGTTGAGGATAGCCATGAATGCAAAGTGTCTGTTGAACCGAGAGTTTGATATAGAAAAATTAAGTTTTTAAGCTTCGAGAGTCGGTCTTCTGGTCAGTGCTAGCGACACGAATTGCTTGTTAGTTGGAAGTTGGGCATCGTGTTAGACTGGTATTTATCATTCATACTGGCTTGCGCGAGGTGGTCCAGCACAAGTGTTCCCTACCTGCCGAATTAGGACGTTTATCGAGTTGTCCCATTATCATTGATTGAGTGTTTTGGACTTTTTGGCGCAATTGGGTAATCGGCCCAGATCCCAAGACGCGCGCCGGCGGTGGCCAGAACCATCTCTCCATGGGGTCTTTTATCCCAAATCCAGTAAAGTTCCTTTTGTGGCATTACATCCATCTATGGGTGAGATTTGCCCAACAATAGAATCTTGTATCAAATCAATCAAGCGGATTTGATTCTGTGCTCGTGTTTTATCTCTTTCATCTCAAGCGAATCGGTTCTTGATCCGAGTCGAGCTGTTGCTTGTGGAGAGAGTTAAATGATACAATGAAGTAGAGAGGAGTCTGCAGGTCCAGTCATCATCACCTCAAAATTCTGACGGATTCGATGCTCCAATGCAGAAATATAGAAAGCGAAACAACAACTGTCTAAACAATCTGTACTTGTTTTTATCATCAGGCTGAATCTCCTCTTCCTCCCTCCTCCTTGTGATGTGCCAAGGGCGCGCGGGTCATTTCTCGCCGAACTCAGGGCGGCATCGTTCCTCGTCCAAATTCGGACCGAGGCGCATGTACTTTTTTCCTTTCGTTGACATCATTTATTTCATCGCCGGCACCTCCGGCCTAACTACAGCTGCTAATGAGATAGAGACTGTAAACGCGTCGAGTGAACAGGCACTTTCAATCTTTCACCTCCCTCGTACACTGTGTTTCTTCCAAAGTACCAACGTCCTCTGATGGGATGCCTCGATTGAACCCCTCGCTCTTCTGTTTGCCCAATCCCTCCGTGTCTGCGACTGCCACAACACGCCCCTTGTGTCGCTGCGTACCTCTTTCATCCTCCCGCCGTAGCCTTACCACAGCCAGAACTCCTCCGTTCCCTGTTGTCGAGACATGTCCCGAACCATCATGTCCATGCAGCTCCACCCCAAAGCTCGATCTCGAAATCGATAGAAGCAGAAGTCTCAATGGCTCCATGTCCCCATATGCGCAGCACCTTCTCATCTCTACGGGCCAGTCGGATTGGACTTCCAGGATAGAAGACGAACACAATAATGGCACTGTATGGGGGAAGGTCGTCGGAGACGTCAAGGCGTTGCTGGGGAGGCATGGACCGTTTCACGATGTAAGTCGTCTTTTCACGGGATGTATTTTGTTGCTGTTTCCAGAATGAAAAGAGCTGGGAAACGCTAAGACATGCTCAGAGGCATACACTGATTTGGCGAGATATGACAAGACCTGGCTGACTTACACAAGGATTGAGATCTAGCCCTATAACAATATTCTTGTCAATACATCGTCGTTCACATCTAGACCAGAACCGACGCAAAGACAACAAGGAACCAGAGAGGTCAACGGTGTGGAGGCGCTTATTTTCCCAGCGTTCCGACGCTTTACACAGCTATCACCTCTCACTGAGAGCAGAACAACGTCAAAGAACGCATCCTCCCCATCAACCGCTGATTCAGGCAACCTGAACGACTTCATCCGCGGTTACCTCCTCCCGGAGCCCAACAGGCTACATCCTATCTACAAAGACGTCCCGGAACAGGAGCGGGCAGCAAAAACCCGGGACGCTACTGCCGCCTCCAAATTCCACAGCAGCCCAATCACGAACCCGACGATATTGATTTGCAGCCATCATCAGAGGGACAGTCGATGTGGGATACTAGGCCCGTTATTACATGATGAATTCAGAAGCTATATCACTCAGCGGAGGCGGGATGCTAAAGGCATAAAGCTCGTCACTTCGCAGTCTCCGGGAGAATTTGTTGCCTCCGACAACGAAGTTTCCGGTGAACATGGTTCAGGAGGAAAAGAGGACATCCAGGCAGAGAGTCCATCATTAGACACCACCTTCAAATCCTCCGTCTCGAACACGTATGCTTCGACTTCCGATTCCCTGCAGGCTCACGTTAATGTGGGTATGATATCCCATGTGGGAGGACATAAATGGGCAGGGAATGTGATTGTATACATCCCTCCAACTTTTACGTCAACCCGTGACGCGATGCCTGACTCTCAGCATCCATCATCTGACATGTCTCAGCGGGCATCTGGTGCGCCACCACCTAATCCACTGAGGGGTATGGGGATCTGGTATGGCCGGGTTGAACCGAGACATGTAGAAGGGATCATTGAACAGACGATTGTGAGGGGGAAAGTGATTGAAGAGTTGTTTCGTGGCGGGATTACCGCGAGTGGGGAGATATTGAGGTTGTAAATGAGTGCCTCGATCAATACATATCATGTCCACTCTTCATCGAGCAGGGATTCCTTGTTACCCCTCCTAGGAGAGAAGTACACAGTCCAGAATCCCGAATGGCTACTCAGTTGCCCAAACCGACACTTTCGACCACTGTCTGCAGAAGTTCGACAAGCAGGTTAAGTACCTTCCCCCTGTCCGTCCCCTCTTCTGACCTGTGCGTACCTAATGATTGGAAATCGGTCATCTATACTCTATAACTTGGGAATGTTTCTTCTCGTGGTTGGTAGGGGGGACGAAGGTTGAATTAGGTATGTGCATGGATCATGGATACGTGTACGAGGGACGAGGTATATATATTTTTCAGTACCGTGGACTACAAGAACAAGACTTGACCAGGTCTTGACCGAAAAGGGGCAATGGATTCTATTGATTTCTTGCTCCAAAACCATTTTGCTTTGGCTTGATCTATCTTCGGCTTTTATTTGGCTAAGAAGTTTCTTTCTCCTCCTCCACCTCCATCAATGATAGCTTGTCTCTTCTTTATCAGCTCACGTAAAACAGCCAGCTCTGGTAACAAACGAGCGTTGACCTAGAGAGACTAGCCCACATTGCCTTCTTTATCGAAATATACAAGGGCGGGAACGCGAAGTGACAAGGAAGAGGTCGAGAGGGGAGAACGAAAAGTTCAACTGAACCACCCCCAGGAAAGAAAATGGTCCGACTCGTTGCGCGGTTCTACTCCAACTCGTAGACCCGGTCAGGGTTGAAGACGGCCGCCTGCGCAAAGTAGTAGCCGCGCTGATTACTGACCAGCCTCGTCTTGGTGGCAGGGTCCTCGAAGTCGCAGTTGAAATGCGTGTGGCCGTAGGCCCAGAACTTCACGCTCGGATTGACCCAGCACTCCTCCTTAGAGAGGTCGGTGGAGAAGCCCGAAGAGATGGGGCTGGACTTGTACGCCGGGTTATAGGTACCCTCGACGGTGCTCGGGCTGTGGTGGGTGAAGATGACGATCCTGCGGTTGGGCTCGCGCGCTGATATCTCGGCGACTTGGGCGTTCAGCCACTCCAAGTCGGCCTTGTGCTCGGCGCAGTGCTGCTCGACGGTCCAGTCCTCAATGTGGTAGAAGTCGTTGAGGCCGAAGCTCACGCGGTCGTGCTGAGACGAGAGCACCTGCGAGTACAGCGTGCAGCCTAGGATTGTCACCTCGGACGACAGGTCGTATCTGGTCTGGTCGAGAACGACCAGTTTGCCCAGCCGGCCGTCATTCCCTTTCTTCGCGGCACGACGCTGCTCAATCTTCTCGGCGAAGTCCTGGAGCTTCGTCTTGACCTTGGCCCAGCTGGAGTGATATGGTTCGTGATTGCCGAGCAGGAAGAAGACTTGGTCAAACTTGAGGAGTTGCGCCTCGAGGAAGTGAAAGAACCCCTCGTCCTTGATGTTGCCGATGTCGCCGAGGAGGGCGAGGTAGGGCGCTTTTGGAGTGATGGAGAAGACATCATACGCTGCTGGTGTCTCCAAGTGCAAATCGGACATGATCTGGAATCGCGCCATGGTGAATCGAAGGTTTAGACTGACCAAGTTAGCGCGGTCTGAAGGCGGTGTCTTGTTATCGTGACGTGCGAAGCAAGGGAGATAGATTGAATCTTGCCATCGACGTCAGGTCAGGATTAAACATTCAAAGAACAGGACGGATGCTGCTCTTTGTGCCTATGGCAACGAACTGGCGCCTGGCATATCTTGGTATTGATACGTCAGTGGAAGCCGTCTCTATCTGCTAGTGTGGTCGAATGCAGTCAAAGCAAGGTCCACATGCTCTAGGTCTGGGGGCGAAATACCTGGAGCCGTGTTTTCCCTCCATTCGGACGCCGATAGAAACTTCTGTCCTGATTCTCCAAATAGAGTATTGGGCAGGCCGACTACCGTCTGTATGACAGATCGGGGAAGTCCATCTCCTGCCACAAGGAAATCGACATCCTAATAAATACAATCAGATACCACTTGTCTTGCAGAACTGTAGCCAGCCTCCAACACACGCCCCTTTTGCTTGACCATCAAGGGATACTTTCCTCACGCCATATTGCAAGGGATCGTAAGTTTTCTGCTGTTCTTCGAGCGAATTTCACCGTCACGCCGCTTACCGTTGTACCCATACTCACCCTTCACTCTTCTCCCTCAGGATTGTCTTCGTCCTAGGGAGCCATACCTTGAACAAAACTCCCGCGGCGTCCATTCCGACGCGGAGGTCTTTGAAGGCCGCTATGAATGAATCATGAAAAGATATCATCCTTTGCTCATCTTACGGATTTCTCGAGAATCGTCTTCCGGGAAACGCGGAATGGGCAGAGCTTGCAAGGGGCCGCTTCGTTTCAGAAGGATCTGAATTAAGTATTGAAGGATGATGGTCCATCGCGTCAACACGGTTCAGGAAAAAGGTTGTCACGTGCTCACGTGACACTCTGGCTAAGATGTGGTCATCAGGCTGCATACGAGGTACAGTGGGGTGATTGGTGGTTCGGCTCGGCTGCTTTTCAATTCCGACAAAGGTTGTTGGTGGATGTCTTACTACTAAGGGGGCTGTTTGTATGTAAGCATCCGAATGTGGCGCAAGGCCCCCCCAGCCAGTGATGGACCCCGTCACCCAACAACTCAGCGCTGATCTATTCTTACGCCTTGCACAAAATATATCCATCCGGCCACATCCGCAACACGCCCAAAGAGGAATCTGGTGCACTGTCCATAACTCCTCCTTCCTGTTCGCCTGCTGCTCTGGTTATAAGCCTCTCCCTCTCGTTGACTTTTGTCATCTTATCTCGCGATTTTGTCCCCTTCAATCGTATCAGATTGCACCACAACAATCATGTACATCACGCCCGCGCTGGTCGCAGCCTGTCTCACCCTTGAGGCATCCGCATTCCTGGTACCTCTCGAGGTTGCCACTGCTGCTAAGCAAGCAAAGTCAGAACTTGCCTCGATCCTGGCAACAACTGGTCATACTGTCGACCTTGATTGTCCCGGGTGTCCGTACTTTGGCCCTGAAGATACAGCCGAACTGCGGGAAGATGTTGAGAACAAGATCGTAAGCACGTGCCTTCTCAGGCTGTATCACCACCATACTGACGGTGACATTTGTATAGCATCTCGAGTTCGACATCGATCCTCAACTAGGCCTGACCATCAATGATCATGCTATATTCTCCTCCGAGACCGATACCGCCTCCATACCCTACCTAGTGTCCGCCCCTCAGATAAGAGTAGAAGACGGTCAACAAACAGACCCCATTCAGCTGGACTTTGCCTGGGAGAGGCTAACACCCATCGTCTCTGCCGATGAACCTGATAAATCTATCCTACCTATTCGGTTTACCATCCTGGGGCTTCAAGGCATCCCTGTCAAAGTCGATACCGTCGCCATTGACCTCCTCCAGACCCCTGATCAAACCTCCATTGCACGCATAACCACAATTCCCTTCGAGGATACACCGGGTGCCACAACCTGTGACACGACCTCAAAATGGTCTCTTTGCCGTCTGCGGGCCATCATCGCCGCTCGTCTCCAAGCAATCATGGAAGCAGCTACAGCACGTGCCTCTGCGGCGACCAAGGGCTGTCATGGTCGCAAAGGCTCCAATGGACTTGGTCCTATGGGTGGTGAGGGTCACCCTCACGGTCACCACAAGGGCGGTCACGGTCACCAACATGGTCATCACCGCTTCCACCGCTTTGGCCACATGCTGCACCAAACGCTACGTTTCTTTGTCATCCCTGCCCTGTTGGGGGTCATTGGGGGTCTCATGGCCAGTGCCGTCGGTATGCTCGTCGGCCAGATGATTTCTTACCTGTGGATCAGATTCCACCGCAATGGCCAACGGGGAGAAGCAAGCCGTGAAATTTGTGTTGTGGAGATTGTCGTTGATGAGGAAGAGAAGGAAGCCCTGATTGAGAATTCGGAGGTCGACGGCGAACTTCCTCCTCCGCCAGGTTATAGGGATGTCGAAGCAGGATCGGAGGAGAAATTAATATAAGCTCGATCAACCAACCATAATCTCATTGAACAAAACCAAAACACATTACCAGAGTTGGGGATGAGTTGGAAAACTACAACAAGGAGAGGGGAAAGGGGAAGATGAAAAATCAAAGCCACAAATATACATTTTATGAGATACCCCAGAGCATTGCAGGTGTTATTGATCGAGCGTAAAGAGGAGGATCCCTGTGCGGGAGGGACCATGGACGATCGCCCCCCTTATATGGGCGGTTCAATCCAATGTCAGTCACTCTCTTGAGGAAGTTCTTTGCCCAAATGTATTTATTTGACGCAATTTTTCGGTTCTTCAAATGAAGCGCCGTATCTCTCACCCGCACACCCTTCGCTACGTATTCCCTTGGTGCGCGGCCTTGGTCAGCCAATCTGGAATAGGGGGGATGGGATTGAATCGGATTATCGACCATCGAACGTGCTACGACAGGGGACGGGATAACTGGGAATATGATAGGATAGGATAGGGATGTCATATAGGTAGGGGTTTGGATAGTGTATCATTATACTATATACCTTCTATCCAGGTATACTTGTAGGTATACTTTTGCCATTTTCAACCATGGGACACAAGTCCGTCCCATCCCCTCGCATGTACATATGCATATATACGTACGTGAAGGATGTAGTACTGACATAGGTTTGTACGGCGTATGGTGAACGGAGTATGGTGCATGGCGAATATCTGACGAACGATGAGCAGAAAAAACATGTACCGAGTACCTCGTATGTTCACCATTTTTCTGGTCTGGTAAGGGTGTCTTGTCTTGGTCTTGGTTTCTATATCTTCGTTTTGGGCATGTGTCTTGGTTCTATGTACGTCTCTATATGCAGACTTAGCCCTCAGCGGCGGCTCTTCCGCCCATGAGATAATATCTATCTGCTGGGATCGATATTGACCCTCTTTTGGAAGAGCTAGTCAAGATCTTCACCAGGAATCTCTGAACCGGCCCAACGACGCACTCTGATGCTTTGTTTCCCGCGGCGAGTGCCAGTCTATGTGATTATGCCAGGGAACGAGGATTCGGCTCGAGAACACGAGTTCAGTAGTTTATCGCGCCAAATGTCTCACCCAACGTCAGCTCTAGAACCCAGTTCCCCAGAGCGGCCACCCATCGCTGGATGGAGGGCAGCAGGCCCCAGTGTGTCGGACTGTTGTACATCCACCGCAGCTCCAGGTCGCGTTGTCGGGCCTTTGCGGCGCTCTCGTCGATCTCGTACGCTGTGGGCTCGATTCCTCCTGGCAAGGCTAAAGAGTGGGAGAGGGGTAGGGATGTAGCCTTGGGCTTCTCACATAGTTTGACCAGCGTGGTCGGACAGGAACACACCCAGGGTCTGTTGTCGTCGCCTAACACCTCTAAAGATTGTGGGGTTCTTAGGGGTGTCGATTGAGTACCGCCGCAGTTGGTGCCATTTCTGGGAGAGCCCGGTAGGCGGATCCGGAGTCTGAGAGATCTTGTTGGGGGGAGAGCAGATGGTAGGGCTATGAGAAGAGTTTCTGTTTGCGTCTTGATCGGGGCTTTTGTGTGGGATGAGGCGTCCTTCACAGCCCGGGTCTGCACCATCGTCTTGATGAGCCACTCTGTCAAAATTTCTGGCTCAGGAGGTGCTGACGTTCGGACTTCCCCTGGCCACGCTGGTACCGTATCCATCTTTGCCGACATATTGGACACTGCATGAGCGGTTCTGTGGTTATAGCCCTCGTAGACTATCGGACAGGGTCGACATGTTGGCGCCTTTTTGCAAAAGAGAGCTGGAACTTCCAAGGGCATAATGCTCGTAATGAGTAGAATCAGCGCCCATGAGCAAAGAGCCATGATTGATGGGATCGTAAAGGCCTTTGATATGGCCATTCTTCTGACCCGAGGTTTGCGACCTTGGTTGATGTCCCTGATCGAGCAATCGCAAACGGTGGTACAAGGGTGATAAGCGTCCACGGGTTTCCATCTTGAAACACTTCCTTTTGCTCTTGATCTTTTCAGCTGGGTCTTCTTCATGACCTCGGAATTTTCCATAGCAGTGGCTGAGGGAGACAGAAATTCAGCATCGATTGTCGGAGGCAAGGATAGAGAATCTCTCGGCTCTTTACTCAATTCGTCAGTGCTCATTGCAGCAAGAGGTGGCCGTGATGCTTGGTCATGGGAGACAGATGGGCTTTCCGCAATCTTTGATGTCCTTGAGTCCTGTGTGGACTCCAAGTCCTCGGCCGATGATGTCTCCGATACTATACCACTCTGCCGTTTCCTCAACCCCGGGCTAGGAGGATAATCGACGGCGCTGCTAATTCCCATCGAGTCCTCGGAAATAACAAAACCAGTCGTCGGTGCCTTCCTTGGGGGCATCGATTTTTCTGCTTTAGGTTGAGTCCATGTTACGGTGGTGAACACTCCCTGTATTGAAGCATAGCGTTGGGGCTCAGTCATGAACGAAGCAGGCCACGGAATGATCCCCTTTGTATGGTTGGTCTCCTCCATCATATTGCCAAACGACCCCGCGAAGTTCTCCAGTGCTTTCTGGACTGGACTTTTGTCCCCGTAAATAGTCACTGCGCCTGCAATATCATGCTCTGGCTCGATAATTGCGCGACAGTTAGAACTGTCCCATATCATGCGCCATGGCGATGAAAACTGTAACGTCTCCAGAACCTCTACAAGCTCTTCCTGCACCGTTGGCACAGACAAAGAACGGCCTGCCACGTTTCTTGATACAATCGTCTCATCATCCTCGGCAAGAGCCGGTAATCGTGGGCTGTAGTCTCGAGAAGCTCTATCGGGAACTGATGGGTCCCGCCCCAGTGATGCCCTGTTGCGCCTGGTTTTCCAGTAATAAGGATAAGACTGCCGACGGTATGCGGATCCCGGAGTTGACTTCGGAAATCGATCGCCAGAGGGAGTCGGGACTAAACGGAACGAAATCTTCTTGCCCGATGGGAGCCGATCGGGTGTGGTGTTGGCAGGTACCACGGGTGAAACCTGCATGCTCGCGGGGGAACGTGTAGTCATGGATGATGCTCCCAGAACAGACGGACTCGTAAAGCCGCTGAGGATGGCCTGGCGCGGAGACGCAATCGATGAAACCAGTGACTGGCTAGTCGAACTCTGCCGCGCGGAGGACAGATACTCGGCGAGAATCTCCTGGTGTCTGCCCGATGTTCGAACTGAAGCATGGCTGATGGAACGCCGTTGTCTACCGAACTTCACAAAATGTCTATCAAGGAGGCGAAATTGTTCCTTGTCTTTCTGCACCTGTTGTTTGTGTGCCGCTCGTATCCATGTCACCGATCGCTTGATGTGTTCCTGTAGCTTTTCGCACTCTGCTTCGGTTTTTTCTCGTGCCTTTTCAGACTCCTCCTTCGAGTCACGAAGCTCCTGTAGTTCGTCTAGCAGTGAGCGGACATCTGCTCTCTTGTGTTCAAGTTCACCATACAGGTCTCCTAACTTCCACTCGGCTTTGTTTCGCTTGTGCTTTTCATCCTCCAGCGAACGCAGCATGGCATTATCTCTCTCCAGCACCTGGTTGCGTGCTTGTGATTTGGCCAGTTGTCTATCGCTGTGTTCCTTCAGTCTCTTGATTTCCAGGACTTCTTGTCGGCGACGCTCAGCAAGTCGCTCGGCTCCGAGGTGTTGCTGTCGATAGCGCTCGAGCTCGTGCTGTTGTATTTCACAATAATACTCCAGGGCCTGAAGCTCCTGCTCGAGTGTGGTATTTTTAATGCGGAGCTTTCCTTCCTCGAGTAAGATCTCGTCATGCTGAGCCTCTGGAGATCCTTGTGTCTCATGTTCATTCTCTTCCCCCTCGTGCTGGTCTGCTTGTCCGGTCTTATCAACGGAGGCGTCATTGTTTTCAACGCGGTTGGTCCCTGGCGGACGTTGAGGATCGCAACTCAATTCTTGTGATAAGTGACTTCTTTGGACAGAGCTTTGTACACTAGAGTTCGACAGGTGCGTTCGCGCATCCGAATAGACGCTTTCCGGACCACTACTCAGAGAGGAGTTGCTCCCAGGACTATCGCTCGCAGATCTGCGGCTGCTTGCTGCTGATGCCGGTTTCCGCACTCGCGGTGGCGCTGTTAAGGAGCCCAAACCCACATTTGAGAAAGCTCGAAGACGTGCGTCTCCTTCGGGTGTGACGAGACCCTGTGTTGATGGTCTCTCCTGGCTGTCAGTTCGGTCAGATCCAAAGGAATCAAGGGGCGAGTCCATGATCGAACGAGCAAACTCTATCCAGGGGTTTCCCAGGCTGGCTGGCTGTTTGATCACCTTTCATTCCAACGAGTACGACTTGTTTCAAAGACAGCTTCAGGCGTGTCGTTGATCATGGATGTTACCAATCCTTGATATATGAAGAACAAATCGGACGGTCCATTCATTGTCGAAATGGGTCACTGAGACCTGAGAACAAAGGAAGCCAAATGCAGAATTGTAAGAAGACAAGCTGATAATCAGCTCAAAGTGAATCAAAAGTGACAAGTGAAATAAAGAAAAACATCCCGTTCTCGGAAAACAGTTGATCATTGGGAAAAGTGAAACACCCCGGACAAAGAATCTTATGGCCACACACAGACCAGGCCACATTCCACTGGGAAGGACGTCCTGACCAGCCGAGAAAGTCAGGAAACCCCACAATGCGCATCTTGACGGTCTCAAAATCGACGACGGATTTCTCCTGTTGAAGCAAAATGCAAGTCCAATAGTCGTGGGAATGACTGACTCCTCGCTGGAAAAGAGCGTGCGGCCTGGGTCAGTTCTATATCAGGCGCTATCACCAGCTGGAAGCGAGATGCCTTGTCGAGTTGTCGCATGTTTCGACAGCCTATCTTGACCTTTGTCGATTCGTCTCTTGTCTGTCTGTTCTCCTAGAACTGTGCGCTGACTTGGGACTGTTCTTGACAAGGAGTAATTTATTGGCCTGAGTCGTAATTTTTTTTTCTTGCGAAACGGTCTAACATCTCGATCTAGGACTCTGCCGCAGCCGGGCCACGTCCGTCGACAATAGGGAATGCTTGAAGCCATGAACGGCTGCCGCATTTCTCAGCTTCAGCCCTCTTTCTCTTCTGTCGGGTGTGATGATGCGCCATCTCGAAGAACGTCGACTGGAAGCGATGCTCCCTCTCTATAATTCTTGCCGTTGACTTGGAAAATCTTTTGCTTTCCATGACCATCCACGACCAGAGCTGTAAGTTTACCTCCATTGACACAGCCACTGTCTAGACCTTTGGTGTATTTGTGGATTTGCAACCCTTTTTTGGCATCATGGCCGTAGATAACAGTCATATGCTGTTCATTTCGTCGATGTTTATCACCCTCCAATTCCCCGAAGCGCTGTCCCAGAGGTAATAGCTGTTGGTATCTGTTCCACAACCTATACCAAGCAACACTGCCCTTGTGCTTGTGTTTCCTGGAGGGTGTTCGTGTGGCAAGATCAATAATGCGCATGTTCATGGCCGAAATAGGATCCTGGGATTCCAGTGTTCGGCCCGGAATGAGTCCTCCGTGGACTACCACGGCATCACCCTTGAACGCTTTTAATTTTCCTATGCGAAGAATGACAGGACACGATTGTAAATACTCAAGATGTTCCCTCTTGAGAGACCGTGCCAATTTGCGCACTGGATCAGTGGCTTTTACAGACTCATCAGCTGAGTCTAGCTCTGTCTTGTGAAGCGTGCCTGATTTAGACGCCTTGTGTCGAAGTTGTTGCGCGACCGACAAAAGCCGGTCATCATGGTTCCCGCGTACACACGAAGCGTTGTAACGCCGCAACAGGTCAATCACTCCGAGCGAATCCGGTCCCTTGGAAACAATATCTCCAACCGAAACCAGGTGATCTGTCGAAGGATGAAATTGTACTTTCTTCAGCAGAGCCTGCAACTCCTCTCTGCAACCATGGATATCACCAACGAATACCAGCCTCTTCTTCCTGGAGTGGACGCCGGTATTATCGGTGGAGGAATGTGGAAGCAGTGCAGGATCCAGCGTCTTGACGAGCACCATGCCCGGGAACTTGGGATGGCTTGCCTCGCTCACGGCGCCTGCAGCTCCGGCCGCGGAATTCGACTTGAGCGCGGACCATGCAGATCTCCCCTCCTCAATCAGAGGAGCTATGACTTTTATCCACAGAATGATCGAACAAGCCGCGAGAAAGGCAATCGCCAACATCAGTCTTCGGAGTTTAGGAGCTCTAATGACGGCGACAGACTTGCGCAGCAAAGCTTCGAAACTCTGCAGGAAGTCATTGTCGACTCGGGATGAAGGGATCGAGGACTCGTAATTGACGGGGTGCGGCTCCAAGATCGGCCTCTTTGTGGCTCCCATTTCTCTTGTATCCAGATGCCAATATCCGTCTCTTTCTCGGACCACAACAAAGGTGTTCTCAACATCGGGGTCGGAGGGTCAGGATCGGCAGGGTTGGACCGGATGCTAGAAGCGAGTTATGGTTCACGCAATTGGTATCGCGCAGTTTATGGCAGATGGGATCAAACAAACAAACTCTCCTCTACTCGATATTCCTACCTCTTGCAGTGAAGGGAAAACATGCAGGAAGCTCGGGAGCCACTCTGACGACATTAGATCAGAATTGCACGCCCGGAAACGGTAAGATGAAGTTTGGCCAGTATTATTATTATTAACTCGGAAGCTCTGAGATCTGCAGCCTCGTTGCCAAGCCCGTTGTGCTCACAGGTTCTTGACGAGTGCTGCATTTGTTTATCTCTTTACACGTGTGTAGTAGCTACACAGCACAAGGAGAAGAATGCTACTTTGTCATGCCGCAATATACGAGGTATATCGACTGAATTTCTAGGTCACTATACAGCATTTCTGCCCTGCTCTTCTCTGAAGCAATGGATCTCCATGGAAGCTCTCCCATTCAACGCGATGGCCGGAAAACTTGGAAACAGGTATGAATTGGAAAATTCGGTTAAGTCATGTTTCCTCAAAGACATTGTTGTCCAGAAAGGGAGACCAACTAAGCTACTACCATTCAATGTGAACTCTCCCCTGGAATTATCGTGTCAGAACGTCGTTCAGAAAAGGTTTGAAGAAGGCGCCAAAGAGCGATGATCGTTTTCAAGAGTGAAGCCACCCTTCAGTCTTGTCGAGTGATAGGTGTGGGTTCTACAGAGCCAGCCCAGCCATGATAAGACCCAGGAAACCGAGTCCCACGCTACCGACATGGAGGTTGTTGGCACCATTTCCAGAAGAGCCTGTCTCCGAAGCTGAAGCCGACGCACCAGTGGCAGAGCCGCTTCCTAGAAATGTCGTCAGTAACTCAACAGATTCAAAACTTGTGCACGAGACCCACCTGTTGCTGATGCTGACCCGTCAGTTGTCGTGGTACCATCTCCGAAAGCAAAAGTGCCCGAGGAGCTGCTCGCTGTTTGGGTGCCGGTGGGAGCAGCGGTGGAGGAGGCGGTCAGGAAGTAAGAGCTGATGCAGGACGCCTGGCAGGAGGCATATTGCTCAGTCTCGCTGGCGGTGCCGTTGCCTTGAGGGCATTCGGCAGCGCATTCCGTGGTCGCATTGGCCTGGAGTTGAGATGGGCATGGGACACCGACACATTTCGCCTGGCAACACACGTCCGCGGAACCGCCTATTCGATCAATCGTCTCAGTGTCCATTCATCATTTTGGTGCTTCAGGATCTGACTTACAGGACTGCAGACACTTGACTTGAGGACTCAGGGAGGCCGTGGCAGCGGCGGAGGATGCTCCAGTCGACGAGGCGGCGCTGGTTATCGTCGACTCATCCGTCGAGGTTGCATTTTGAGCTGCAGCAAAGGCGAGAAGCCCGAAGGTGGTCAAGGTGGTAAAGAAGCGCATCTTGGAACTATTCGGTCGTCTGGAAAATGCCACAGGGGTTGACGATTTACGCAAAGGGACGCAGAAGAGAGGCTAAAGTCGCTGGTATAAAGCACGAGGTGAAGAGAAGTGAAGGCAACTGAGACCTGATTGAGAAGTTGAGAACGAGTGTAGAAACGAACGTCGCGGCGCAAAAGTGCCAGCACAAAATACAAACAAGCGGTGGCTTCGAGAAACTCGATCAGGACAAATTTGGGCGCACCAGGGAGTAAAATACTTCTGACACCTCCAGGAGGACCCAGTGTCCAAGCTTCCCACGGGTCCAAATCTCCCCAGGATTTTCCTGTTTTTGTAGGGCCTATCCAAGACGCTGCTTGTTTCGGATAGCATGAAGCGAGCTTTTCTCGGCGCATACTGGACAGCGCCTCGGAAGGGGCCTTCCTGGGATCCGCTTCAACGGAGCTGAAATTAAGGCTACGCTTCCCTATCGGACTTTCGATCCTTGGGCTGATTTTCGTGGGCCGATCCGACGTTGAGAGCTGATTCGACAAAACGTGCAGCCCAGTGAGACAAATTGGGTTGCTCCCCAGCCATTGACCGTCTGTTTTGTTTGTGGCGAGTTATGCATGTTTCAGACTGCGGTCGAGTCTTGGGTGTACAGGGGGTGGTTGAAGTGTGTTCTTGACCATTCGACAGGCACACAAGACGGAGCATACGACAGCTTGGAGTCTTGTACGTAGAGTTCCTCATCGTCGGAAGAGAGATGCTGAGTTTTCGCCGCCCGTTGACCTCAACCGGGGATTTTCATGCTGTCATCGTTGTGGGCCAAATTTCCGCCAACGAACAAACAAAGACCGCCACCAACTGTCGGAAATTGCCCTCGTGTTCTGTCGAACTTCGGCTTCCCGTTCCATTTCCCCAGGCGCTGGCCCCTCAATGGTTCTGGGGTCCACAAACATCACATCACGTACAATAATGGAAGAGTGATCATAGTGCCGACGAGGCTGCTGCGCTCTGTGGACAATAAAACTTAGATACGTGAGATGCGCATGCCGTATAGTGGCAGTCGCATCATCAACGCGCATACGACCACCAATTCTGTACAGAAGAGAGCCAGAATATCCTGTGCCACGCAGGCGGATCTGCAAAGAGAAATGGCAGGCATGACAGCGAACTTTTGTCAAAGGGCTGTCAATAACGGGGGGATCTTCCTTGGGGTTGGCCAATGGCTGCTAAAGCGAATACGCCGGCTAGTGACAGGTCCAGGAAACTCGATTCAAGGTCCAGCACGGAGAGACGGATTGCCAGTGATCTGCAGTCAAGCTCCGTGTCGATCGATGACCTCGCCAACGTCTCTGCGCGCAGCTAATTGTATTGGTTGCTTGTACCGAGTACGCAGTTCCG